CGCGAAGACCTCACCTTTGTGGCGCATCGTGACCTCCGACGTCTAGCATTTCGACAGCATTGCCAGGTTTATTTTTATCCCTAATAATCTTTTCACCAAATTTGCTAAGATCCTTTCAGAATATAAACAGGGCAGGCAGGCTCGTTCGTCTAAAATTGTCATTTGATTCATTGAGTCTGTTTCGCCTTATATGCAATCTACTTCGAAACCGAATAGTTTACTTTTGATAGACACAGGAGCAATCTAGTGATATGCCTTTGTCTTAATTGTGATTTCGGCTATCCCTTATCTGCTTTTTATGCCTTCTATTCTCCTGCCTGTTGAATGGTTAACAACCTATTTAGCTACTCAATGTAGATCCAGCTAGCCTTCCTTTTGGACCGCCTCGTTCCCTTCGTGGCCAAGGCTACTATGGCCCTGGACCACATGGCAACCACGGAGGCTATCGACCAATGGGCAAACGTCGCCGTTTGGCCCCACCTACGCCTGGCCGGGCAGAGTCCCCCGAGTCGGCCGTGCCCGCTGCACCAGGCATTGTTGACTGTCCCAACGCACCATCAGCGCCAACAGCCGCTGCAACTAAGGCTGGGGACTGTTCGAGCAATGCAGGGCCGATGGACACCTCGTCCTGTTAACCCAGTTGTCACTTGCCTACGCCACTCTCCGCTACCCTTCACCTCTACAATTCACTACCCTGCGTTCAGCCCTGATCGCTATTGTCTGTCTTTATTTGCGACCACTGAAAGGGCTAGTGGTGTTGGAAGCAGTTTCCCCAAATGCTCCTTTCTCTACAACAGTCCCATAGTAGCCTTACAACCGGTCACACTGGAAAACCACTTCTTTTTGGACAAAAAACTAAGTTGCCATTGTTGCAATACAGACTTAGCGTCTCGTATAAATGTCTTTTGAACTTCTGTCGGACTTAGTACCTGCCAACCATTATGTTTTTGGTATCTACACCTCGACCCAGGAAGCCTCAAAGAATATTCTCATAAAAACTGTTCGTATTCATCTCATTATTGCTCTCCCCATTTTCGCACTGTTGACTTGCTGTTATAGGTTTTGTTGCGGACCTCCGAGAGAAGTGCATTTTACAATCCTTTCTCGTCCTTTATCCTGCCCCTTTTATATGCCCTTATTATTTTAGGATGATTCCTCTGCCATTCAAAACTTCCCTCCCTTAAATGTGTCGAGTTTAATGGCCCAATAAACGAATCATTCTAGCCCACCAGCTGCACTAGCTTTTGCCTGTTTGGAACGCCTTTTATTATGGACTTCACTTAACTTTTTTCCATTTTGTATCCTTAAAAGTCTAACCAAGGAATCATCACTATAATTTTCAACAATTGTCAGGTCATTGTCGTATCCCCGTTTTATGATTTCGGGGTCGAATTTGATGAAGGCATTTTGGCGACTGTTCTGTATGGCTTTTTTATGTTCGTGGTTTGGTGAACTTAATGTCGTGCTAAACGACCTCGAATTGAGGTAATGCAGATCCACACACTATCGGGGCCTTGATTTGATGCAGGTCTCAACGGACTAAGAAGCCGTAGGAATCATGATTAACTGGATTTAAGAAGTGGATGCTCAGTTGAACGGAACTAAGTTGGTAGGGATGAACAAAACGGACCTGTCTGGGCTCCGATATATTTTAATACGGATTAATAAGGTTGCGGATCTAGAACAGGTCATATCGAGGTCCATATTTGATTGTAAAATGAGTATTCTTGATAATAGGACGAAAAACACTATTGTCGCAGTTGAAATTTCATTTTATTACTCGATAAATGCACAATATACTACCGAAATTGCTATTCATGGTCGAAACCTTCAAGTCTTTTGCATAAGAGGGTAGCCAACCTTTATGAACTACCGGCGGCTGCTTGCAGATGTACGGGTTAGTCGATAACTTCCAGTTCGTGGCTGGGAGAAACCTCTGCAAAGTTCGGGTGTCGGGCAAAGTAATATTTATCGAGATGCCAGTGTCATTTAGGACGATTCTGGTAATCTTTGGGAGCGTAGTAATGAATCTGAGACAACTCTCGCTGAGAAACGCATTACCTAAAATGTGCGTTTTGTAATGATTTACTTGATAGGTCTAGGGTGCTCAGTTCAGATCTCCTTTCGAAACGAGCGAATGCAGTCAATGTGCGGATATCTTCATTTGTAAGGCCGTTTTCAGCCAGACTGAGCACGCGAAGTGTCAATATCCGCCCAATAAGAGACAACAGAAGGGAGTCTCCACAAAGATTATTGAATGGTAGGAAGAGATGGGTAATTTTCGAAAATGAGAATAACTCCAACCATGTTTGAAGTGAAGCTTCTTTAGGTAGGCTAATTGCCTCGAGAAATATTTTGCCGTATGCATCGGCGAATAATCGAAATATGTGTCCAACCCGAGGTAGAACGTGACAGTTTGTGGGCTCGAGGGGAATATTTTTATAAATCTCTCCTCCAATATGCTCAGGAATACCCTTTAGTGAGTCACAAAGATCAATAGCAATCGATGTATATCTGCAGCAAATGGCTAGTAGTGCTGGGGGACTGTTCATGTTTTGAGGGTTGCGGGTTGGGTAAGCGCATATTAAAATCGTGCGTGAAAAGGTGATAAAGGTGCGCACTTAAACTATATACATTCAGAAATTAATTACATTTTATAATATGATTTAATACATTATTTTATAAGTAAATTTAGGTATATGAGGGTGAGTTCTCTTAAGGCATTAATTATTCTTATTTTATGCGGTCAATTTACAACATTATAGTTTCATTTGAACACTTTCCAGGACTATTAGAAATAATTATTTAGAACCACAAAAATGTGATTCGTATGACGCAACCTTAATAGTTAATTGCTAAGATCTTTTTTAACTAATTAGTTACTTAGTGTGCCATTTCTCATTGAATTGAGAAAGACAACCTTGTTTCAGCCGTCTAGTAGCTTCATTGAATAAGTTTGTGTTCAATTCGTGTTGAATGAATCTCGATAGAAGCGATATTTGTTTTAAATAATAATTATTATATTTTACATGTGATGTCCTGCAATTGCCTGACGAAAAAAGTATGGAAGAATTGGCCCACAAAAAATGGGATTCGTATGATAATATGATATAAATTTGGATAAGTCAGTCAATTTTTCCTTTGGATTAAGGATGTCGGCACAGTTGGTAAATAAATGAAGGTAAAATTTACCATATTAAGTAAAGCGCTGTATGAATCCCAATGAGGAAATTAACAGGAAAAATAAGTACAGCGTATAGACATTGAATGATAGGAGTCATATAAATTTGAAAATTTTAG